CTGATACCAAAGCAGGCAGTGTCCCTCCCCCAGCAGCTGTTAACCATGACCTGCCTTCAGTTCAGCCACAAAAGTGTTTGCTCTGACGATGTCCAGCGTTGTGACACCAAAGATTTTGTTGGGATTATACACACCGTGCTTCTTGAAGACTTCTGAAGTTATAGGGATGGTTGAATTTACCTACCAGCAAGAAGAGGCAAGCACTGATTAAAAGCAGTATAATAACAAAGCCAATGCATGAACTTAAACAGGCCAACAGATAACCTGAACTACACTTCCAACTTGGAATCAGCTGCAGCCAATTACTTTAATGCCTAAATTGAAGAGCAATTTACAGTCAGGCTGGAATAAAAGTCATTAATTTTACATAACCATTAAGACAATAAATTTGTTCATTCCCATTACAAAGGCTCCTCCCTTAGAGAGCTAAGACTTTTATCCCTAATTTTAGCTAATACACGAGCTTGTATTATAACCAGTCACACAGATTTTGAGATATTAAGCACTTTTATATCCAAGTTTCCTCTGACTTAAATACAGCCAAGAAAAATGGGTTAGTAGAACCAGGCTTTTAGAGCTTTTCTGCTAATACACTGCAGATCTCAAAGATACTGTTTAAAAAGAATTTGGATTACTCTAGTATTCTCAGTCTGGATTTTGGTTGTTTTGGTTTTTTTCCTCTACATTCCAAAGCCTTCAGAAAACACTTACCGGGTTAGAAATAATACAGATCATGGCTTCTGGACAGTGCTTTGCACAGCCAGTTGTCAAAGAGGCAACAATGCTGGCATTGGTGTTGAACAGGTCATCACGAGTCATACCTGAAACACAGCCAGTGCAGTGTCCTGTTACCCACAGTCTGCCCCTTCATGGGCAAGCAACCCAACCAAAAACCTGGGCAGAGACACATCAGCTCCTGGTTTCATAGATCCAGAGTAAATTCTCCAGCTGCAGTAATGAACTGGCTCCAAAGATAACTCCCCTTGCTAACAAACAGATCAGCCCTTTTCAGGAGCAACCAGCCCAGCTGTCCATTGCCAGAACACATTTCACCTAAGCTGCCTGGAGTACACTGTGACCATACAGACCCACACCACTGATACTCAGAGCAGCCTAATTGCTCCCAAGATGAATTCTCCTCCTTCTCTTAAGTCACTTCCACAACTCCAGTTTAAATGCCAACTGCTCCGTGCAAAATATTGCTGGTTGTGTAAGTGCCACCTCCCATTTCTGTTGTAGCAACTACTTAACCGTGAAAAATGAAGATTTAGGAAGAGCTAGGCATTGAAGTCTAGAATTTTGTTACATTCCAAAGAGGATACTGAAAAACAGAGTAGAAAAGGTGCAGGTCAGAGACATTCTAGGAAGCTTGAACAGCATTTATTCAGAGATGCCCCAAGAAGTTACTGCACAATTGCTGCAATACAAATAGATTATCTCTATTCTCCCGAGAAATGAAACAATGAACTGGGTTTTATTCCTTGAGCATTGCCTCAGGGCAAGAAACACAAAGGGAGATTTAGGATCACTTTCATGTAAGGTCTTTGCACCTCAACCCTACGTGGGAACTCCAGAAATCAATGCTGCCCATTTCACAAGGGACAGTCTAAGGGAGAGGCTGAATGAGCTGCCTGATACCACAAGCAGCTCTGGGTCAGGGGCATTAACAGACCACTTACACCCCAAGCCAACACCACCATAAAGCACCAGACACAGCTCTATTTGAGCAGCAGCACTGCAGAGATCCACTTCAAAGCAGCCCTGGGGCCTTCCAACAAAGAGAACATACCTGGTTTTCTGGGGACTCCCGCCGGGATAACAACAATATCACAGCCCTTCAGACATTCTGGCAACTGCTCAGGTCCCATGAAGCCTGAAATGGAAGACACTCAGGCATTATGCTTTCTAGAGTTATTAAGTAACTGATACTTTGAAGTACAAAATTACACCCAGAGGCATCCAATTCCTTTTTTTAATTTAGCCTTCAATTCAAACTTACGCTGAAAAGCAAAGAAACACAATTATGGATGGATCCCATTTGATGTTTTATCCTCGTTTCAAAACTTTCAGAACCAGAGTGGTGAGAATCTCACATTCAATTGTTTTGAAAACCCCCAGTTCCTCCTGCTATGTGTGTTTACTCTCCAAAAACCTTGGCACGAGAGTCAGTGCCCCCAGAGAATTTCAGGCAGGCACATTCAAGTAAAATGTCACCTTCTGGAGGTCTTCAGACAAAATAAAGATCAGCAGAATAAGTTTTGCTTTCATCAGAACCTGACAGCATCCCTTCAGAAAAGAGGCATGTGGAATTCATGTGGATACCCAGGGAGTGTTAAGTCTAGTTGTAGTCAAACTTCTAAATTCAACACTCAGGCTTTGTTCAGAAATAATTTCACTGAGTGTTTCCTGCCGGATATCACAAATTCCCCTTCAACAGTGCAACCACAGGCCATTTTCATCTCCATACATGTCAATCTAATCAGCTAAACCTTAATTAATCATGCACTGCTCGAGGAAAAAGCTACTTATATTGACACCAGGCTTCAGGGTCGCTGCGTGAAGATTCCCCTTCGCAAGCAACGAGCGATTCAGCGCCAGAGCCACCCGAGAGGATCCCTCGGGAACACGGAGCATTCCCAGCAGTACCTTTGACCTTGGCTTTGGTCTCGATGTGGCTGAGGTCAGCTGCCACTCCTGGAGTGTGGGCAATGTCATAGAGGCTGAGCTTGCTGACCAGCGGGCTGTTCTTCAGGAGCAGGGACAGCGGCTGCCCGATGCCCCCCGAGGCCCCCAGCACTGCTACCTTGGCATTGTTCTGTGGGAAAGAGACAACAAATATGAGGTGCAGATGTTCTGCCAACCAGCCCAGTGGTGACCTTGGGGATTCCACCACGCTTTCTTTACTTTTAGCTCTATTTCTCAGTTTTTCACCAAGCGCTAGGCAAACTCGATAGGCTGAGCCCACAGAAAGTGATGCTCATGAGAGCCTCCCAGGGATCCTCCAGGTTTATGGGCAGGACAAGTTGGAGGAGACTTATTTGCCACCTGAAGCTCAAAAGGGAAGCAAGGCTGAGGCAAAGGAACCCGAAGGATCACCTTTCTCCAGACAGAAATGTCTGCCTGAGACTTATACCTGCCAGCCAGGTCTGACTTAGGGCAAAATCTGGTTTGTAGTTTCTCTAGACTATTAATACTGCCAGTATTAAAAAAATATGCCTTCCCATTTGGCAAATCAGTACACTTAATGGTCTACAATAAATGTAATAACTACTGTATATACAGGAAGAAAATGTTTAGGCCAGAAATAAATTCGACACAGTACCTGCAGCTGCCTCAAGATCAAGGTCTGAGAGTATTACATGACTAGAACTTCCAGTTTTGATCATGTGGCTGAGAATCAAGTAAAATCAACTCTTCTTGGCTGCCCTGTGAACCAATTTTACCCTCACAGGTGTACTGGCAGGACGTTATTTCTCTCTGCCCCTGTCTGTAGAGTATTGCCAGATGAGAGAAAAGGGCCAGAACAACCTTAAAGTGCAATGTTCTTCTGGAGTGATGGAGAACCAGTCTCCTGCAGAGATGCAACTTGGCAATACAATTAGTGCTGAAAAAGCCATTCTCTATCACAGCCTTACCAGATAAACAGTTCCAAGTCCTGACCTGAACACCTTAATTACTGTGCTATGACAAGAAATAATCCACCCAAGAGCTAGATTAGCCCAATCTCATCTTGATTTTCTTGCTATTGTAACAGATGTAATTTTGCATAAAACTCTTGAAGGGGAAGCAAAGTCTGGCATGAGTAAATGCTGTGCCCTATTTATGACTGAGCTGATACCACGAGGTCAAAACCCCACTGTTAAAAGATTGAGTTCCTATGAAAAAAACTTACACAAGCCTCTCCTGTGCAGCACATCTTTATAGCTCCAATAATCACTCTGTCATGTCCCCCTGGCACTATTAATGTCAGATAGAGGTCGGTCCCTACCCATGCAACCACAGCAGCAGTTCTCCTCTGGTTTGGGGTCAGCAAAACGGTGGATTTCAAGCACACAAAGGATTACTGCTAAACCCCAGCCACCAGCTTTAGCTCTTAAAACCTCTGGAACGCAGGGGCACGTTTGCACTAGAGGAAGGAAGCGGGAAACCTGCCTATCACCCACCGCACACCACTAGAGAGAGAACTTCATCAGGTCTGGGCTCCTCCCCGGGCTCCACAGCCCCAGAACTGAGGAGGGTCTGGGCTCCTCCCCGGCCCCACAGTCTCTCACCGGGGAGGAACTGGGCCCAACCCGGGGCTGGCAGCCCCTCACGGGGAGGGACCGGAGCTTCTCCCCAGGTTCCACCCGAGCCCCGCAGCTCCTCACCGCGAGGGTCTGGGCTCCACAGCCCCTCACCGAGGAGAACCTGAGCTCCTGCCCGGCCCCCAGCCCCCTCTCCGAGCAGGGCCCGTGCTCCATCCGAGCCCCGCAACCGAGGAGGAACTGGGTCCAACCGCGGCCTCGCAGGCCCAGAACCGACGACGAGCGGGGCTCCACCCGAGCTACACCCTCACTGGGCTGCACACCCTCACTGAAAAGGGTCTGGGCTCTCCCTGGGCTGCTCCACAGCCCCACAGCCCCTCACCGAGGAGGTCCCGGGCCGCACCGGAGCCCCGCAGCCCCTCACCGGGGAGCACACGGGCTCCACAGTCCCGCACCGAGGGCTCCCCCTGAGCCCCGCAGCCCCACGCTGAGGAGGCCCCAGGCCCGGCCCCGCTCCCCACCCACGTTACCTGTGCGGAGGTGGCGATGCCGCGGCGCAGGGCGGCGCCGGTGGCGGTGCTGAGGCGGGACAGCATGGTGGGAATGGCGGGAGTGGCGGGAGCGGCGGGAGCGGAGCTGGCGGCGCTCGGTGACTCCAACGACCTCCACGGCCTGCGCGGCCCCGCCTCTCGCGAGACTTCCCCCTCCCCTTCCCGCCGCGGGCGGCAGTCTCGCGAGATCCTGGCAGAGGTAACCTTGGAGACGGGCGGGCGTCGCTCCCCGGGCCCGGCTCAGGGACAGGGCGGGATCGGGGTGTCGCGATAGTCGGCGACAGCCCGCCGGGGATGGCAGGGGTGGCGCTCTGTGAGCCCCGACACCTCTACAACATCATCAACCAGTGCCGGCGGTTCCCGCGGCTGGCGGAGCCCAACTACCTGTGCCTGCTGGGTGAGGCCGCGGCACAGGCCCGTCCCTGCCTGCTGCTCCTGCCTGCTGCTGTCCCTGCCTACCCCTGCCCATCCCTGCCTGCTGTTTCCTGCTCCTACCTATCCCTGTCCTTGCCCCTACCCCTGCCTGCCCGCTGCCTGCTGCTACTGTCCCTGCCTCCTGCTTATCCCTGTCCCTGCCTGCTGCTCTTGCCTGCCCCTGCCTGCTGCTGCCCCAGGCTTTTCCTGCCCCTGCCTGCAGCCAGGCGCTGTGCTTGGCCTGGTCCTGCTCCGGCTTTCCTCATGTCCAGCTCTCCCTGCTCTGATCTATCCCATGGATACACACTCTCCCCCTCTACTTCCAGCGATTTTAGAGGTGGACAAGATCTTTCAACCATTTCACAAAGATTGCTGATAAGTATTTGCATCTTGCATAGTGCCAATACCCCCCAAAAGGGTGTCTGATATTGCAATATTATTAAAAGTTTTGGTAAAGGAGTCAGCCAGTTTGGGAGTGGGGTTGGGGTCTCTCTGGTGCCCCTCTGCCCAGCTCTGGGGCAGCAGAGGCAGAGCTGCTGGGCAGAGGTCAGAGCAGGCACAGGACTGGTGCTGGGAATGCTACAGGAACACACTTGGGTCAGGACTAAGGCTGCTGGCATCACTTGGTGTTACACACACACTCACATCGGTCCTGGAGGTTGTTATATCCACACCAGAAAGCCTCAGTTCCTAAAAAACCAAATCACAGAGTCATCAAGGTTGGAAAGAGACTTTCAAGATCATCCAGTCCAACCATCAACCCAGCACCACCATAACCACTCCTAAACCATATCCCCAAGTGCCAGAGCCCCAAATGTCTTTTCTCTGGGTGATGCCAGTGCCTGAATTCCCGCTGACCGAATCACAAACAGAATTCCACCTTTACAAGCCAATTGCTCTGTCTCGGTTGGTTTTTTCAGATGCCCGTACTCAGCGTGAATTCGACGAGAGCCACATTGTTACAGCCCGCAGGATTGAACGGGTGAGGGCATTGTTTGAGTGAACCACCCCTCGATTCAGCAATTAGCAGGAAGCCAAAACTGGTTTAAACCCCCCGGGAAACGTCCCATCCTCTCCCGTGCCTGTTGCAGCCGTGCTCGGTGGCTGCCACTGGGGGGATGTATTCTGTCACAAAGCAAAAGTGGCCTCAGCAGCCCGAAGGATTGGCACATAAGGGGCTGAATATCAGGAAAAATATTGCACAAGGACTCACATCTTGTAGCCTTGTCTCGCAAGGACAGTGCTGGCATCTGCCCCGCTGTGGTTGATGAAGCAATCAGGGCAGTTTGCATAATTTCTGGCTCCTAACCGGGGCTCTCAGCGTCACCCACACCCACACGGACAAACCAACACGTAGCTAGAGAGTTGTAGCTTGCAAGATGTCAGTAGTGTTGATGCCACAAGAGCAGAGTGGAGCTGTGCTCCTGACAGAATTCCTCTGTGATTTTGCAGAGTCCTAGAGGGGAGTATCTGATCCCGAGCGCAGAGGAGCTGGGCTATGTCAGACACTGTGTGGTGTATGACTACAACACCAGCGTTTTGAGCTGCTGTGACTATGATGAAGAGGAGAAAGAAACAGGTACGTGGGACCCATATCAGCCAAGACCTCACTGCCAGAGAGATATTCATCCCATTCCTCATTTAATTTTATGCAGCTCATCGGAAGAGGTGCAAACGTTCCCAATTTTATTTGAAAAATGATCATCTGTTCTATCCCTCTGGTTTTTCAGTGTGTTGTGTATGTTCTTAGGCTTCAAAAATCCAGGTTTTATTTCAAAGCATCCTGGGAGGCCTGGTTTCCATCTGTGGATGATCCCCCGAAGCTCCTTGATGCATGTGAGGAATGGGGTTTTTTTCCCCCCACATTTCCCTGAGACTGGGCTTGTCCAACAATTGCCTTTTAGGGAGCAGTGCTGCTTCAGGGACCGGAAACAGTGGCTTAAGTCCTGTGCATTCCCAGAGTGAGTACTTCCTTCTCTGAGGGCTAGAAAAGGCTTTCACATCATGATACTTAAAAAAACATACCTTTAATGGATGTGATGATTTGATGGAGTTCACCGGGAAGTGAGAAGAGCTGGAAACCTTTCCATGTCAGTGTTCAGCCCTCCTTGAACCATGGAATTGTTTAGCTTTCACACATCCTTCAGCAGGGAGTTCTGCTGTGTGCAGGACTTCTGTATGTTTATTTGGCTCTTATGAGCTTTACAAAGTCTACAATAGTTTTAGCAAAGATTTACATCGCTTTACAAAGGAAAAAAATGTGGGTGTGTAAGGGGAATGAAAAAAGAAGGATATTCCTAAATGCTTGATGATGAGGCGTTAAAGTGTGAAGAATCAGAAGTGGGTTTCTATTGTGCTGATCTATTTCTAAAGCAGACATAGCTAGAGGGAAGCAGGATGGATCCCTTGGGAAGAGGAGCAGCCATCTCACATAATTTACTTCATTGAGGAGAGTGTTTAAAACACTTGAGGAGGATTTAAGACACTTCCTTCTTTCCTCCTTTGCCTAAAGCAAACTAAAGAAAAGGGCCTCTGTAAAACTATGATTAGTAGATTTAAATTAATAATACTTCCCTCTTGTGGGAACTTATTACAAGTATTTCCCAAAGAAAAAACGAGAGAGAAAAAAACCCCAACCAAACGCCTTTCTCTAGACCTACAGAAGAATCAAGGAGAGGAATAAAAGATTGGGACAAGAGGTGAAAGCAGCACACAGGTACAGAATAAGTTGAGCTTTTAGCAAGGTTTTCTATAGAGCATTAAATTAAATGAAATGGGAATTGCTATGGGTGTTGGGGAGGCAGATGATGGAGACACTGAACCTGCCCTGGCAAACAGCTTTTTGGTCTCCTTAGATACTCAGGAAGGAGCTGCATTCCTCCACGCCAGAAACTTTCAGGAGTTCACCCGCCACCACGTGCTCGTCCTGAAGGGAGGGTACAGGCATTTTTCATCTTGTTTTCCTTTTCTGGGGACTCAGAAGACACTGTGGATGCCTCAGGTGACATGAGACTAATCTGAAAGTAGAATTAGCATTCATATTCAGCTGCTGATGGCTGATGAATTCAAGTTAAATGGTGTTGCAAATGTAGTATCACAGTAATTTCAAGCAAAGGAATTAAATGTCATCTGAATTGCTGTGCTTGCCCTGAGTCTCACCACTGATTCTTTTTCCTCTTCCATTGCGTGAAAGAAAGCTCATGGAAACAACCTGGGAATGTTTCCCTGATAACCCTGAAACTGGCTTGGGGAGAGTACAGATAACTGAACAAACACTAGCAAATGATGAAAAGAAGCAGGGTCCTCTCTCACATGTGGTTATCTGGGATAGTACACAGCAAATGTTTTCAGATAGAAATGAAATTCCTACCAAGCACTATGTTCCACGTGTTTTCATTGGGAAGGATCACAAAGCAAGTGCTGGTGCATTGTTTCAATAGGCCCAGAAAGAAAACAGCCATCCACTCAAACACCAGTATCCTGATATTTGGTTTCACCTACAAACATCGATCTATTTAGCTCATGAGAAACAATCACCCTTTATTTCACACCTAGGACAGGACCTGAGGCAGGGCAGGCTAAGAAGGTGCTGGTCAGCAGAAAGCATCTCATTGCAACGTGTCTTTTGTTCCCTCCTGGTTCACAGGAAACAGCCCATGACACTGTGCTGACCTGTGCAGCACAGGAGGCAAAATCGATTCACTTTGTGCTGCTTTGTGAAGGGCAACACATTGCTGAGCTTCCCCATCAGATTCACACGGACACAGAGTACCTCCCTGCCTCTCAGTTTAAGCTGTTCACTGTTGGTTTAGCCTGCTGCTTTGTGCTGCTGCAGCAGTAGCAGAGTATCCATTAAGGATGTCGAGGCTTCTTGTGCGTTTTCATTCTCAGCCTCCGTGCTGCAGGCGCCGGAAGCAGCTGCAGAGTTGTGCTGTGCCACTACAGGGCACCTGCAGCTCTGCAGGTGGCAGATGATTTCATTTAGCCCTGCAAACAGTAACCAGGGAGAACATCAAATGGATCTGTTATGCTGCAGTCCCTGCAGACAGTGGGAAGGATATATTCCACCTCCTGTTTAGTCAGGGTTTGTTTCAAGTAACGCTGCAACAACAGCAATGCTGTTAATTATTCTCAGTAAATCTAGTAAAGACTTCAATATACAGAAAGTCCAGGTGATTGAATGAATCATTACACTAAACTGTGTCATGGGCTGTTGACTAAGTGCTTGTTCAATTCTTCACATGACTTATGTTTAAGAACTTAGCAAGCTAATGGAACAAAGACCCTCTCTAACCTGAGCCTATGGTTTCTTTCCGGCAGGAACTAGACAACTTCCAGCCATACCCTGTAGAAATACTGCCTTTAAAGTTATATATGGGCAATTTCAAGCAGGCCTGTGACCAAAAAATTCAGAAAGATCTGAGGATCAAAGCACTAGTCAATGTCTCTGAACAGCCTGGAACACTGTAAGTTAAACAGTTCAAGGTTTACCCTCACCAATGTCTGTGATGTGAATAAATGAGGTGGCACAGAGTCTGTTCACAGAGGACTCAGTGCCTGTGAACTTCCAAGGAAACCTCTGTTGTTCACTGCAGATTCCAGTGTTGTTTCATGCTCATTTTTCCAATCTCTACCCCAGAGCAGCAATGCAGTCCTGCAGCCCTCGACCATGCCTTGGGTGGGTTGGGTGAGAGGAGGAGTGGGAAGCACATGGCATTTCGAGTCTATCATATACCATTATCCAGGAGAAACCTATATCTCTGAATAGCTTTCAGAGCAAAATCTTACAAACACATCAGTGTAAAAGCTAAATCACCCATGTGTCACATTGCTGGTCTTCCTTCCTTCCTACTCTGTCCATGCCCAGTCTGCAGGTTGTGCTGGAAATGCCATTTCACACAGTGAAAAATCCAGTGGCATTTCTCAAGGAGGTGACCCAAACAAAGTAAGCAACAAATCCAATTACCCACCACCCAGGACATGTGTACCAGTAGACATTTCTCATGCCTTTGGCTCTGGAGGAAGGTCTGTGCACTGTGGGTAATATTCCCATGTCCTCTGCATGATGTGCTTTCACATTTTGGAAATTCCTCACCAATGTTTTGCTCTCTGAGTTCTCTGAGTTGAGTTCTCTGAGCTTTTGGAGGGAGGAGATGCTGTCATAGAGAATGACATCAAGTGACATGAGGGGGCTCTGTTCACAAAACAGCCAACACACACAGGCTGTGAAGGCACTCTGGCTTTCAGTTCATCTGTTTGCATTTATCTCTCAGATAAAGGAAGCTGTAGGTTAAGGCAGTGATGCTGATACCATGTGGAGTGGAAAATCAGTAATTAAATTGGATCTGTGTTACAAACATCTCAGTGTCTCACCATAACAAATCCCTTATCATAATGTTAATGATGATGATGATGAAAAACTTAGATGTGTAACAGCAAACAAAATTATCACCTTGCCTCCAACAAATACATCTTGTCAAAGCTGCTTCTCTGGTCCATGTGGTCTGTGTGCTCTCTTTCCAGGTTTGCAGAAGATGGTGAATCCCTCCATATATCTGTTCCAGATTCACTCGAAGCAGATCTTTTTTCTTTCTTTCCCATCATTTCTCATTTCATAGGTGAGTTGATCCTGATCTGGAATTCCTGAGACCTTGCTCACTCGAGGATATTAGATGGGAGTGACAGCAATTCACTCCAACAGGAAGCTCAGGCAGCAGGGTCGTAATCATTCACTATCAGTACACTCCCAAGCAAGCCCACACCCTGATGGATGCTGGACCTGCCTCACTATCCAGCCTGTTGGACAGAGAGGCAATTTTACAGGGCATCTGACTCTGATGTTCCTGCTCACTGTAAAGAACACCTCACTCTGGTAATAGGCAGCTTTCCACCTGACCTGAAAAGGCTTTGCTGCAAAGCGTGCACCAGAGCTCCATAGGATTCCCTCTTAGTCCTTTGCAACAACCCTTAGGCTCTTACCAGCCCAAAGCTTCAACCACCACAGCTTTATTTGAACCAGAGTGTGACCCACATTAGGGAACTTTCCACAAGGTGCTGCTAATCTTTAAGATTTGCAGTGCAAACCCACCATAGAGCCCGGGAAGACTTTCAGGTTGGGTGGCATCAACCTGCCTTTGGCTGATTACATCAGATAGGGCATGAAAAAAACACACTCTCCAGCTCAGTGCCTGCAGCTGCACAGCAGACACGGCTCCTGCAGCTCCATCCTGTGATGCTGTCAATCCCTGTCGTTATCTTTTATCACACTTATCAAATAACACCTGCCACAGACCACGACCCTGCTGAGCAGAGTGTTGTTCAGAAGCAAAAGACCACCCTGTCCCCACAGACTTTATAATCCAAGTACAATATCAGAAGTGACAACTGGATGCAAAGAAACAAGGAAACAACATTTGAGGATATAACTTTGTAGTCCTGAACTGGATTTGATGATTTGCATGTGCCCAAATGCTGAAATTCACTTGCTTGCCTTTCGTTGTGCCCCGTGTTTTTCCCAGTAGCGTTTCAGAAGACAGTTTCTTTCTCCCATCAGTTTGTGCAAATTTCCAAGGCAGACTACAAGAGTTTATTATCTTTAGCTCTTGTGAAAGTGTTACACTGTTTACCTGATAGTGGAACTGTTTACTTGGCCCTCCAGAGCGAGATTATTCAAACTGTAACAGTTATGGGTGAACATCAGACTAAAGCTCTTCACTTACTCCCAGAGGAGTGTGGATATTCTCATGCCAGGTGTATATTGGAGTGAGGCAACTTCTATTCAGGTTCTAGAACAGAAATAGTATCTCATTATAGAAATAAGTTAGAAAATGCTGTTATAGTGCTTGAAAAAAAAATCAGAACCAACAGAACATCTCAGCAACAGTAAAAGGCTTTGCCCTATGAATTCTGTTGTTCAGTTGCTAATATTCTAAAACCATCATGCTGTCTAGAGAGAGAGAGAGAGAGAGAAAGGATTAATTAAATATGCAACCTTCTAGGCACAGGCAGCAGAGTTAATGTGGTTAGGAGCCACTGACAACATCCTGTGGTAGCAAATGGGTTTGCTGATCTTTGCAATTTTCACCACAAAGTATCCATCATAAAAACATCATAAAAACAGTGCCCCAGCTGGCATGTACATGCTTCCTGCTGGTGATGTCCATGGAGAGAGGAAAGGGATTTAGAGTCTCAGTCCCCTCCAGTTTGGGAGCTGATTGCTCCAGCCTGCATGGAGAGCAGGCAGTTCATCAGAAATTTCAATACCTTTAAGCCTTTCTGGGAAGAGTTTGAGCAGGTGATGTGAGTGATGCTGACCACAGGTGATGGATCGTGGTAGACCACATTTCTTCAGTTCCCTGATGTAAAGGTGACACTGATGTGCAATGAAGCATTGTCTGGTTATTGTCACTGGTCTTCAAAGCCGCATTTTAACCAAGTGGATTTCTCAGAAAGGCAAATGCTTACAGAAATGGGAGCTGGCAGTGCCCATCTGCTGCTGTCAGGGTTCCTGAGGGCTCCTGTCGCTCAGCCTGTCAGCTGTCACCGAATTAGTGCTTGGCTCTACCTTTGGAAGCTTGATTTCCCAGATCATTAATTTGTGATTGGCATTTCTTTACTCAGATGCTCAGATGGATGTTGGAGCAGTGCTGGTGTTCTCCAGCCTGGGGATAAGCCGGAGCAGCACAGCCATCATTGCCTATCTCATGCATTCCTGCCGGCTTTCCCTGAAGGTATGTCACTGTCACAGTTCCCACCGAGACTGGCTGGGTCTGCACTTGATTTCTCTTTCTGAAGCCTTATCACTGTAGTAGTAACACATTCACTGTCTGTGATTTCATGCAGAATATCCACTTGATAATGTAACTGATTATATGATCTGAGATTGCATCTTCTTTATACCATTAAGGAGCTGGCTTAAGTGTGATTTTGGATCTGTGAGTTCTTACCCTGGCACCTGTGATATCCTTGCATTTCCCTACTTAACTACAGGGCTATAAAACTAAAGCTGTGGTTAGAGAACATGGTATTTCTCTCCTGGATCTGAGAAAGAGAGTGGAAGCTACTGCAGGTAATCCCAGCTCTTAATTCCATGGTGTTACAGGGAAGTTCAGAAACCAGTGTTTGCAGGGCTCTGATTTACCACTGACTTTGGCATCAGCACTGACCCTTTCTGAAACCCCATTTTATTTCTCCAGAAGCAATCCCCTCCCACAGATGCTGCTGTAGAGAAAACTGGAATGGGATAATACTCACTCAGGGGGGATGTACAGGTTAGATGGCCAGTACATGCTGTTCCATAGCTCTGAATAATGTAAGAAATGGATGAAGGATGGCTGGGAATGGCCTGGCTGTGCAAGAGCCTGGTGGCCTCTCCCCTGGTGCCCTTTCTCCCTTTCCATACAACACATGGGTATTGTGCTGCCCCAAGCACCATCTCATGGTACCTGCTAACACAGAGCAAATGAGTTCCCATGGGAACTGAACAGCATCTCCTCATCCTTGTTTAGAAAGTCTCCTCTGGGAGCTTGAACAGATTGATCCAAACTTCATTTAAGCTGGGCCTGTATCTGATAATTTTATTGATTTTGTGCAAACATTTGCAACGTAAGAGGAAATCTCTTTCCATGGCTGTGTGCCAGTGGGTAATTAGAGGCTGAGGGTGCCAGCAGGGCTGCAGACATGGCTCAGTCCCTGCACTAACACGGGTGTAACTGCTCCTGCATGCTGATAACCAGCCACTTGCATACTGAATTTCAGACTGGGCTTACATGGCAGTGCAAAAGTCAAAGGCTGATCCTTGCCATTCCTCTCAGTTGGCATCAACAGGTTGGTCTCAGCATTTTACTAAGTGCCAAAAAAAAAAAAAAAAAAAAGAAGAAAAGGTTGACAGGGCAGTGCTTGCCCACTGTTGGCTGGGCAAAGCTTTCCTGGGGGGATTACCCTGGCAGGCAAGTTTGTTTCTTGCAGACAAAAGCAGTGCAACAGATTCCCGTGTGATTCTCCAGCCAATCCAGGCAAAGATCTTTGAAAGCTTCCAAAAGCAAGGCAGATTTGGGATGTGTGGCCCCTTATTCTGTTAGTAGTCAATATGTGAGTAGATCTGTTGAGTCCAGGGAAACTGGAGACACCCACACTGTGGTTCCAGAGGAGTAAATATTGGAAGATCAGCCTCGGAGCCTGCAGAATCACTGAGATTAGAAAAACAAACCAATGGAGCACTATCTGCTGACCTTTGGTCTCATTACACTTAAGCAACCCTCCAAGTGCAGGGGGCAAACTCTTTTACAAGCAGGAAGATGAGCACTGCTGGGAAAACACAGGGATGCAGCTGAAGTAATGCACAGCAATGCTGGTGGATCTGCCCTGCGTGTGTCAGAGTCCCTGGGTGATTACTTGGAACTAATAAATAGTTAAGATGGCTGTAATTAGTGCAGTGGGATAACTGCAGGGTCATAGCTGCTTCTGCCACATCAGGTCACACCAATCCAAGATAACCTTTGTTGCTTATCTGTGAATGGCTGATGATACTTCACTGCTTTGTTCATCATCTGTGGAAGGAACAGCATTTTAGGGTAGAAAATCCAGGCCTGGATTTCTCCGTTGGTGTAAAATAAAATAATGCAGGATACCTGCCAGGTAATGAAAGCAGCCTGAGCTGTCCTCATATCCAGGAGAGCAGAGTATGAATGGGACAGGCTTCTCTGATGTCCACATCTGGATCCAGCCTGTCCTGCTTTGGCAGCCAAAGTCTTGCCTGCAGGTTCTTGCTGTCCAGCGCAGGGAGCAAATACAAAGCCGTGTTGTCTACAAGTGTAGCCGTTTCATGACTTTCAGTTCAATTCCTAACACTTCTCTCCTTTTCTTCTGCTTACAGGGAGCTTGGGATTACCTCCTGAAGTGCAAACCGAGCATGAGACCCCATCGGGGCTTTGTGGAACAGCTCTCAGCCTGGGAGAGCCAAATGTATGGGACCAACATCACAGACATCTCTGAGCCAAACTACTGACAGGGAACACCCTGCAGGGAAAGGCACTCCCTTCCACACCACCAAGCAAATGACTTGAACGCTGTTTGAGAAAGACCTCAGTGGAAAAGCTTTCCTCTTTAGCTCCATGCTACTTTGGGTCAACTTCTGGAGCCTCCTGGAGAACTCACCTGTGCTGTAGAAGGTGTGGCAGTTTGGGGAATGCAAGTGCTGCAGGATGAGACCCATTACAGGCTGTTTGTCTCTTTAGCAAGCAAAGGAGACTATAACCATAGTAGGGTTATCTCTGAAAAGGTTCCTTATCCATAGCCTGGAATGACAAATTTAGAGTCTGACTGTGGCCACTTCCAGCCTGGAGAGGTGACAACAGAATTTCTGTGATTCAGAAGTCCCTGCAGCCTGCGAGTGCCTTCTTAGCTACCCACAGACTCACTGGTTGAATTGTTCAGATCATCCTTCCCACTTGCCACCTTCTAATCCAACAACCAAACCTCTTGGCACAGCTGGTAGTTTTGAAGCCTCAATCCTGCTACACGAAACCTAAACTCAGCGTCGCCCTCTCTCTTACCTCACTGTGAATTCTGCTCATTGACATCCCAAAATAAAAACATTCCAGAAAACACTCCCGGGCTTTCCTAGCACTCTTGTGTTTGCCATTTACAACGGTCGGGTCCATTTAATTGCTTTCATCAAAGCACCCTAAATACTAAGCTAAAAAACAGCGAGAGTTTCGACTTCTAATTGTTCAAAAAGCGAACTGTTTTAAATAGACGTCACCTCCATACCAGAGTACAACTCGTACCTAATAGGAACATTCCTACGAAAGGAAGAATCCCTGTAATGGGAATTACAGGCCGGCCTGGCCCCGCCCCCCAGGCTGGCCCCGCCCCCCATGGGCGTGCCCGGAAGGGGGCGGGGCAGCGGCGCGGTGGCCGCGGGCCGGGCCGGGCTCCGCCATCGCCGCCATGGCCGCGGGCGCCTCGGCCGCCGAGTGCCTGCGGGAGTGGGAGGAGCTGCAGGACGGCTTCCAGCGCATCCAGGTACCGCCGCACCCCCGCCCGGGGGGCTCGGGGGCCGCCCCGGCACCCCGCGGTGACCGGCACAGCGCCCTGGGGCATCCGCCGCGGGCGCCCCCCGCAGCATCTCCAACGGGTCCCGCGGGCAGCCGGCGGCTCCCTCCTGGAGCGCGGCCGCTTTTCCCCTTTTCCTTGCGTCCCAGCCCTGTGCGCCCGGGCAGAGCGGTTGGGAGCGGGGCGGAGGTGCCAGGCTGTGCCGGGCACGGCGCTTGCCAAGGACCGGGGTCCGCCGGTCTGAGCCCCCGGCCCGGCGCGGAGCTGGCGTGGAGAGCCCAGACCTCCCGGTGTCCAAGGGCTGGGAGCTGGCGTGGAGAGCCCAGACCTCCCGGTGTCCAAGGGCTGGGAGCTGGCGTGGAGAGCCCAGACCTCCCGGTGTCCAAGGGCTGGGAGCTGGCATGGCACGGCCGGACGGGGAGCGCAGATGCCATTTCACGCTCTTTATCGCTCCTTATCGCTCCTTATCGCCCCTGTCAGCCCCGCTCGGGCCGGCCCGGAGCCAAACTGCCCCGCTGGCCGGGATCACCGGGAATTCGGGCACACCGCGGCCAGGCTCCTTGTCCCGACCCTCCGTACCCCGTCCCCCTCCCTCTCGTGCCCTGCCGCCCACCGGGGGCTCCGTGCCAGGCAGGTGACAGGTATCAGAGGTGCTTCCACCTGCTTTGTGTAATCCCCAGGGCGCGGGTTGCCGGGGGAAGGAGTGGGCAGGGTTCAGCTCAGACAGGGTCACCCAAGGGAAAGGTTGGCTAACCCCATCCCCTGCTGCTGCTCAGGTCACTCAGCTGCAGCTGCACCAGTTCCCTTTCCCCCTCTTTCCCCCCCGGGAGCGGGGCGAAGCGGATGTTGTTGCGGGCACGTCGCTGCTGTGCCCAGATCTGGGGCAAGGGAGGCTTTGAGAAACCTCCTCTTGCTCCATAGGGGTTGTGTGGATGTCCCGGGTCACCCACTTCGAACACTGAGTGCAGCCACACAGTGCTGGCCCTTCCCATTGGAAACCTCCTCCCAAGGTGGCTCCTGATCCAAGCTGTCTCTGAGCGTGGTGCTGGGATGCTGACACAGCTAAAGGACTTGTCACAAAAGCCACTTGCTCACAGTTAACTCCAGAGCAAGAGGAGGAGGTGACTCCAGATGGGAGCAGGAAAGCTTGATGGCCAAGCAGGGAATGCCCTGGGAGAGATCAGGGACATAAATCACTGCTGGGGAGCTGGGATTGTCTGGGATCCAGATCTGCTACTGCTTGTTACCAGAGGGAGAAGGTTTCCCTCCTCTGCTCTGAGTTTCACCTTTCTCCTTTGGGAACAGCTTTCAAATCTGCTGATCAAATCTGCTGCTCGATAAGAGCTAAAACTTGTGTGCCAAGGTCTAGTCCAAGGGTTGTTGTGAGCAGCGTGTAATTCCCTAGTGGAAGTGGCATTCAGGCTGCTGTGGCTGAGGTGAGGCTGTTTTCCAGCTGACCTGGACAGGCAGCAGCATTGATCCCGCACACTCTCTCCTTTCCTTGCTAAATATAGTGGAGAGTGGCATCCAGCCTTTCCCAGGTGCGGTTGGGTTACCAGGCACTTGGCTGCAGCCCTGCTGTGAGTCCGTCCTCTTTGTCCAGCTCATTGACAGGCTCCTTCCAGCTTCCCAGGGGTGCCCAGAGCCACAAGTCAGGGCAGCAGCAGGTGCTGCATGAACCTGGAGGCAAAGAGAGTACTTATCCCATCCCAGCACTCAAAACCATCGCTCTGGGTTACCACGGCCCTCAGTTACAGCACTGGCTCAAACAACATTTCTTTCCAAGCCTTTTCTATCCTCTGTGCACTGTCAGTGGTCTCCCAGCTGTGGGAGCATCACCACATTGGTGGCTGGACTTTCACAGCCCACAGCTGGAGGTGGCTGGACACGAGGGATGTGCAAGGGCAGGACCAGGCTGTGTCCTGTGGATGTGCCTGCACCTGTAGATACCTTCCTTGGGATTGGGGATGGGCATCCCCATGGAAGCAGGGCTGGTTGCAGGCTGTCCCCAAACACACCTGGTCCTCTGCAGCCACCCCTCCTCTGACCCAGCTGCTGTGCAGGTGAAGTTGAGGACATTTTTTAACAGAAGCATCAGCAGTGCTCCTGTGGAGAGCCCGAGGACAGGGATGGCTGGGCAGGCAGCTCTAATGCTTGCTGGTCTCTCCTTCCCAGGATAACCACAAGCTGTACAAGCAGAAACTTGAGGAGCTAACCAAGCTCCAGGATGGGATCTCCAGCTCCATCGCACGGCAGAAGAAGCGGCTGAAGGAGCTCTCGGTCTCCCTCAAAAAGTAAGTTGGTGTCCTGTGACAGCACAGGAGGGGAGAGAGGCAAGGATGGAGCTCTCACCTCGTGTCTGAAATACAAAGCTCTCTGCAGCCTCACTCATGGCAAAGTGCTGTGAGAGGCAGATCTTCCGCATCCTCCCTTCCTTGTGCCCCAATTTGTGCCCCGTTTGCAGTTCAGAGCTTGCAAGGGCTTTGCAGGTAACCATGAACTGCCACGCTCCTGCACCAGGCTCTCCCCATCCTTCCTCGAGGGTGAGAGACTCCTCTGGCCTCACCTCACTCCCATTCCTGCTTCCTTCTCTTGGGCAACATCCCAGCCTGACAGAGTTATGGACTTGCCTCCCATCTGCCTTTGCTGTCCTTGGGGTGTCCTTGCCCGAGTCAGTCACCTGTGGAGTGCCAGCACATGCTGATCACATTGCAGAGGCTCTCCTGATGCCAGTGCCTGTGTTTCCTCCCCAGATGCAAAGCCCACGCGAGTCCCGAGCAGGTATCTTCTATCCAAGAGGCCGAGAACCTGATTAAAGAGAGGCAGAATGTTTTCTTTGAGATGGAGGCCTATCTGCCAAAGAAGAATGGGTAAGAGGCACCTCAGCTCTGGGTGAAACACCAGGTCCACCCTCCACATCCCCGTGGCTGTAAGGCTGTAAGGCTGCTGTCACCCTGCTCCTGAGGGGGTCACAGCTCTGCTGCTCCACTTGGGCTCCCCAGAGGACACCTGGGCAGGAGCCTCTGCAGCACTGCCCTCTTCCTCCTCGCTCCTCTGCCTGCTCGGGGCCTTCATCCACCCTTGGACAGTGGCTGTGTGTGGGGGGAAGCCCGGGTGAACACCCCAGTGCCCACGGGAGGTGGGGTGTGTGCTCGGCCACCCGTCCCCCTGCCCTGGGGAGGGGATGCCAGAGCGTTTGTACCTGGCAGCTCCAAGTGGAAATCAGCTGGGAGGGAGCTCATCCCTGGCCTCAGCAGTGGCACGAGAGGGGACAGCTCCACAGGCAGGTCCCCATCCTGACACCTCTGCTCTCTCCCCAGGTTGTACCTCAGTCTGGTGCTCGGGAATGTGAACGTCACACTGCTCAGCAAACAGGCCAAGTACGGCTCCCTCCTCGCTGCCACCTCTGCTTTGCCTGGCTCGGGATCCCCTTGGCACCAGGAACAACAGCTCCTCCCGGCCAGACACTGGGCTGGCTTGGTCCACCTGGTGTAGATTCCCTTCCTGGGCTGTTTTCTGCATCCTTTCACAGAATGAGCCAAATCCTTGACTCCCCCTCAAGCTCCTGCCACTGGGCTGGGATGGACCATTAGCTCTGACAAGCTAAAAAGGATCCTCCACCAAAGCCATGTCTGGGTTTCCCCCTCCTCTTCCCTTGGGGAAACACCAGTGGTTGGTTTTGGCCCAGGAGAGCCTTCCCCATGCCAGAGAGGCCCAACCAGGAGCTTGTGTCCCTCTCCTTCTGTTTCCCAATCCTCCTCTTGGAGACATGTGCAGACTCCAGTCTGCCCAGCTTCCCCAAAGTCTGGGCCATCAGACAGGTTGTTGGGTGGTTTGGAGTGCTTGAAGGTGTCCCACCTGTGTGGAAGCAGCCTGGTGTGTTCTCCTCTCAGAAATATCCCCAAGGCAAGGTTTTTCCCAAGTATGTCCCAGAGGTTCCAAACAGGACATCACTTTTGTCCAGCTGGGTGGGGTGGGAGGATACAGCATTTCAGCAGCCACTTCATTCCAAGTCCTTGTGCTTGCCTGCAGGTTTGCTTATAAAGATGAATATGAGAAGTTCAAGCTCTACCTCACCATCATCCTACTCATTGTCTCCTCCTCCTGTCGGTTCCTCTTCAACTCCCGGTGAGTCTGGCTTGGATCCTGGGCAGAGATCTCCTCCCAGGGTCCCTGTGTCCTCTTCTCCCATCCTGCAAGGTCCAGAGCTGAACTGGAGATCCTGATAAAGGATCTGGACGCTGCCCTGGAGGTGGGGTGGCCTTTGTGGCTGCTGCAGTCCTGCTGTGGCCGTGGTGTGGGGGGGGGAGCAGGTCCCTGCCCGCGGTGGGTGGGTGTCCCACAGCAGTGCCAGTGCCCCCAACACACCCCTTTACACCCTCCTTTGTGTGACACCAGGGTGACAGATGCCGTCTTTAACTTCCTCCTGGTGTGGTACTACTGCACCCTCACCATCCGGGAGAGCATCCTGATCAACAATGGATCCAAGTGAGTCCCTGGGCTTGGGGAGGGGGTGCAGCGAGTTGGTCCTTCTCTGCAAAGCTGGGAGGTTG